CCAAACAGGATGGGATTTGGAACATAGATATATATAATGGACATCTACAAGAAGGTATGGTCTCCATGCACATGCATACATGTACGATACGACGCTGCAATCTGATTGGCTGAAACTTTAAACATTTTTAATTCCCTTGGTTTTCAACCAAACGGGATGGGTTTTAGAACATAGATAGATTTAATGAACTTCTACAAGAAGGTATGGTCACCATGCTCATGTATGCACGTGCGTGCACGTGAAATGGGTAAAATCAAAAATACACTTGAATGAGCGAATTTTTTAATACTTTTGGATTAAATACTTTAATATTTAGTATATTAAAATATATAGATTGTGTAGACAAGATGATATGGTATTACGATATGCCTTCACATGTGCACACGTGCAATGCAAAAATTTGAATGAGCATGGTACATTTCTGGGTAAACATTGTTAAAATTTCAAATGCATAGAGTTTGTGTTAAAAAATAAAGCTTACAGGGAATATGGCACCAAAAGGGAGTTGGGGAGCTTTTGGGGGAACATCTGTAACGGTCCCCGTTAAAATTTAGCACTAGTTGATTAATATTTTTAAAAATTATTTTACACAAACATATGAACACGAGAAAGTGAACCTGAATCAAACTATATATTCTTGTGTTTTTAAAAAGTCTCTCTCACAAATAAGTCATTATTTAAAATACAATTTTTTACATGTATTTGATTTTCTTCACTTTACCACTGCCCAACTCGGTCACAAAAAGGTTTTCTGGTGCTACACATAAACCCCTTAAACTTTAGACCACAGTTATCAATGTAACGGGGAAAATGTCCGTTGTTTAGGATGTGGATACAGGGGTTTGCACGGTCTGATGTCAGGATCTGACTCTGGCTGTCTGTTGTAATGCCGGCGGGTAAAATACCCCATGGTAGTAGAGGGATGAACAGTGTACTAAATGGAGTTTCCTGCCTGATTAACCACCACCACTGCTTTGGCTTAAAGTCAGCTACACAGATATCCAGGTTCCTGTTCTCACTGATGTTTTTAATATAACCAGATGAATACAAATTTTTACCTTCATTATCAAACTGAATGCTTTGTTTATCTGTGGAGCCAGAGTAACGGACAACTTTTGATTGTTTATCATCGTCACTGTCCATGATAACCAGCAGGTCACCAGAGGTGGACACGCATTGAAAGGTCTCCACCCCTGTAGTCTGATCACTTCCTGTATCTGTTTATTCTTCACTATGTTTACAGTTCTTGTACCAGGGTCAGTATAAACTAGGTCTCCCCCCTTGTCACTGCTATGTCATGTAGCCAGTTTCCAGACTTGGTTTGGATTGACTTCAGTAGTTTGCCCGGGAGGTTTAGAGTTTATATTGTGTCATCTCCACATGCCCAAATTTTCTTCATCATGAGACAGGTAACACTGTGTAGTAAGCCATACCCAGTGTCTATGGTGGTGATGGTCGGGTTCGTCAAGCAGTGGTTTGACTGGAGGAGAGGATACACCTCTGGTGTCTTCATTGTGTAGCCATGTTCTTTTTGTTGAAGGGATAATGCTGACAGAGAACCAAACATTTGATGGAGCTGTTCTGTGTTGATCTGATGAGGAGAATAACTTGGTAATGACACATTGACTTTAGGAGGTAAACTTCTGAATTAGCATTTCTAATTGTACCCAGAGGTTAGGGAGACATCTTTGGGAGTCCAGTATTTTCCTCCGAACATGTATGTTTTTTTTTTACATCAGAAGTAATCTGTTTGATTTCTTTTTCCTGTTTATTTAGAGCAGCCATATGTTTAGTTTTCATCTCATCAATTTCAGATTTTTGTTTGTAGACAACGATGTTAATTTTTCTGTGCCAATCCTCTCCTTGTTTGGTGACAGCTCTTGTCAGTTTCTCATAATGCTTTTCCAATTTACTTTTTCAGAGTGTAGATCTGATGAAATTTCTTCAAAGAGGTAATATTCTTTTTTCTAGTTCTTTCAGATCCGTCTTAAAAATTTCTTTCATAAAACTTGGTTTCTGCAAGTATCTTTGAATTTATGACCATGATGTTTATCAGAGGAGATGGCAGGGACAACAGACAGGGATGTCACATTTCTCACAGTAAAGTTCACAGTGTTTCTGGGTGTGGTTTGGACATTTTGGGTAGTTAAGGTTAGGCGTAGTTGTTCTGTGTTTGTATGGAACAACTTTGTGTCTTTCAGATGAATCAGACAGATGCTCCCCTACACAGGCCTTACACAGGTTAATCTGGCAAAGTTCACAATGACTCTGTAATGCAGCTGTTTGACACAGGTCACAAAGGAGGAGTACTTGAGCTCTGTCCAGGGGGTCCATCACTGGGGGGCATGGGTCACTGACTACAGAAATATTAAACAATTTTGAATAAATACAATATATAAGAGTTTTTTTGTTAGAGAAATTGTTAGACAGTGTAGGTTTAGAAATAACAGGAAGGATCTATTTGTAGCGTATTGGCGTTTTGGCATGTAAACTTTATTTAAATAAAATCATATCAAACCACAAACCATGGGAGATTCTTTTTATCACATATTTTTGTTCACTATAAATGTGTATTTTGTCGTTTATTTCTAATTCAAATTTTCCTTATAACGTAATAAATAAAATTACGCTGTATGAAATAGTTCGGACAAAATACATGCATATATGAAAGAAAATATTATTATTTTTCTAACTCTTGAATGAAATCTTGTTAAAATACATCAAATAAAGTGAACTTTGACAAAACAGTTCATGTAGTTAATAAATATAATTTATCTAATCTATCTAAAGTGGCCCTCTCATGCAATTTATCTTATCTATTATACGTACTATTGTACTAGACTTGAGATCAATAATGATATCTGGAAATGTTTTGCAGCAAGTTAAATTTTCTTAATATAATATAGCCTCACCTCTAAATCCAACATGGCCTCCCTGATAATCCCGTACATCACAATTTACTTCCTTGTCTTTGTTCTAAATATTTACCTGTTACCAGGTCACGTGATTTAAATACCTCAGCTCCTATGTAGAGAGTACGATTAAATTAGAATTAAGGGGTGTTATTAACAATAGTTACTATATATGGTCATTAAACCCATGAAAATGAACTTTAGAGTCATCCTGTTTATCTTTTTATCTCCAGCTTTGTATGTATCCATCATATTTTTGTCTATACGAAAAGTCTTTGAGATATTTTCTCCTTAATTTTGTAGACGTTTATTATAATATGAACTATACACGTGTACTTGGTATTTTCAGATCAGGTTTTTCTAAGTTTTAACGACGGGTGACTTCATGCAACAGTGGTGTAGAATCGTTTTTGAAAGTGGGAGGGGGGGCAGCAGAGAAAATATTTTTTACTTACCTGAAAAAATTGACAAGCAAAAAAAAAAGTTTGCCAAAATTAAGAAATCCTATTTCGGGGGGGGGGGGGGGGTCTCAGTGTCAACTACATGTACTTTCCGTACCAATTCTAATGCTTCAATGCTTCATTTTTGGTACATCACTTGAAAAGTCTAAAAGGGGGGGGGCAACAACCAGGTTTTCTATTAACATTTCCTTTAGTAACAGTAAGGTTTGGGAAAAAAGTCCCCCCCCCCCCCCACCGTTGCTACGCCCCTGTACAATTAAAGATATGCAAAAATTGCGATAAAATAAACTCTCAAAGCAGACATTTTCTTTTAATTGAACGAATGGTCAACATCTCATCTAGCTGCAGATCTGTAGCGTTATGATTTTATATATTTGTCTTTTTTTCATAGGCGTAGTCACAGGCCTTCAGATTGGGGGGAGGGGGGGAGAGTATTCTGCCCCCCCCTACTTTTTAACGAAGAACAAATTAAAGCCTTTTAAGAAAAAGTTGGCTACTACCTCCCTTCTACCCGTGTTTGGTGAATTTTCCCTTTCTTTTTTATTTTTTTATTTTGCTTGTAAAAGAATTTCTGGACTTGAAACCCCCCCCCCCCTTTCCCATGAAATAGGATTTTCGAGTTTGGGGAACTTTCAATTTTTTTTTTTGTTGTAAAATAATTTCTGGTCATGAGCCCCCCCCCCCCCCACTTTTAAGTTTGTGACTACGCCTCTGTTTTTAGCTCTACTGGTCAGAGACCAGAAGAGCTTATGCGATTGTAATGTGTCCGGTTTCTGTCCGTCTGTCTGTCTGTCTGGTTGTAAACAATTTTTCAAAACACTTCTCCCCCTACAATTTTAGCTTGGTTTCAGTATTACTTGGCACACAAGCAGACTACACTATGATACATAGAATAGTGCAACGGTTTTTGATTTCGATGAACGGTGTTGCCATGGTTACTAAAAATAGAATTTTCTGTGAAATTCCTTAAAAACGTTCAGTTTCTACTTCTACAGTTTTTGTCTGATTTCAGTATAACTTGGTACACAAGTAGACTACACTAAGATACAAAGAATAGTGCATCATTTTTTGATTTCGATGAACGATGTTGCCATGGTTACTAAAAATAGAATTTTCTGTGAAATTCCTTAAAAACGCTTCTTCTTCTACAGTTTTTGTCTGATTTCAGTATAACTTGGTACACAAGTAGACTACACTAAGATACAAAGAATAGTGCATCGGTTTTTGATTTCGATGAACGGTGTTGCCATGGTTACTAAAAATAGAATTTTCTGTGAAATTCCTTTATTACGCTTCTACTTCTACAGTTTTTGTCTGATTTCAAAATAAGTTGGCACACAAGTAAACTACACAAAGACACATAAAATAGTGGTCTTTGATAAGTACAAACCAGTAGAGCTACAGTCTCGACAGAGACATCTGGTATATCCACCTTTCACTCATTTATAGTTGTCTCTTCAGGCAATAAAGTCGTTAGAAGTGAAATTTCTGCAATATAACAAATAGTTTTTGTCAAGCGAGTTTATCACTTGTAGAGACGAGAATAAAGGGTTGGAAGGTGTATAAAATATACATATTGACTACAGAATGTGTCTAGAATTAGGGAGTGAAAGGTGGTTGATTGACCAATGCTTGAAAGTTGGTAATTTTCCCCAAAAGCGTGCAAAACATATTGCGCCGTAAATTGCATGCACCTTTTTTGCATTACAGGATCTGTAGCGTTATGGCCAAAGACAAATATATAAAACCATAACGCTACAGATCTGCAGCTACATCTTATCTATAACTTTATGCTATTACATAACATAAATTGCTCTAAATAGAACATTTAATTGATGCTTTCACACATTAATTATTAGGTAGGGGGTATAGATCCTGGTTTTTTTTATTAAAAGAAAAAATAACTAACGTCAGGTGACTGTGCTTGCACATGAATCATATGTATTCCTTTTGAGAACTTTCCTTTGGTGCCAATAATTTTAAATTAATTAAGTTGCTTGAATAAAGAACTTGGAGTATTATCTACTAATTAATGATAAACTGAAAACCCTGATCGCCAAAACTTTTTTACTGGTAAAAGGGAGGGGGGGGGGGTAAAGAGGCAATAATTTTACCCTGTCTTAATCCTAGTTCTGGATCTTAGAGTTTGAAACATATTTGAAAACTTTAATCTTGGTCTATATAGAGCTTTCATCAACTGAATCAGTGTTTCACAAGATCATCTTCTTTTCAAATTGTATTATTTGAATTTAAAAAACCTTTTCATGTAGACTGGTATTGCCTGTCTTTACCGTACGCAGGAAAATGTCGGATATCAGACAGGCAGGCCAGTCTACTTTTCATGTGCTGTATTCACTTTTTATGTCAATTTGCATCGGGTTCAAGATTGAAAAAATATTTGTTTCATATTGGCGTCAAAACAAAAAACCTCGTACAGTGGGCCCATAATATTAGACAGACACTTCTAATAGTGACACGAAAAAGTAGGTACCGGTAAGCTTTATCCATAATGTTCTGTTTTCTGTTATCCTAAAAGCAGAGTGTTTGAAAAAAATATGTGTAAATATGGACAGAAAAAGATGCAATAACCAGGTCCAGTACAATCAGTACATTTAGCTATATACGTAGGTAGAATTACCTACGTAGCTTTAATTACCTACCTCAGGTAGCTTGATTTAGCTACCAAATGAATTTATTTCTATAAAAAAGAATTTTTCTCAGGATGTGCAAAAACTATCATTTTGATGCAGTGATCATTTTCAACTATGAA